TTTCTTCCTTACAACCAAACTCTCTTCCTATCTCCATTCTTGCCTCAAATCATCGATTTTAATTGGAATTCACTTCAAATATCATCTCCTAAACTTGCAATCATCATTAAAATCGTGCAAACAACATCAAAATCCACTCAATCTCATCCTTCAAGGTAAAATTTTCTAAACTCACTATTTAATTGATTTTGAACATAGGACTAGTTTTAATTAGTTCTAGGATGAACTTTAGATCGGACATTGATTGTTTAGTGATTAGAAACTAGATATTACAACTAATTTCATCAAAAACACAAGAATTTTCCAAAAAAATTTAAATTTTCGAAATTAAAACAAAAATTGTTAATTTTCAAATTAGTGTGTTTTGATTAAATTATGTTGTTGTTATGAAAACTATACATATATTATTTCTCAAAACTGTATTTTTCAAAAGTTTTCAAAAACTTTGCCCATTAGGATTGATTTAGAGAACCTTGAAATATTGAGGACTCAATTGAGTTTTGGGATTAATTGAATTGCATACATGTGTTTTAAATTGCAGGTTATCCATTCTATTCCGATTTCCTAAACCATGTCCAATCCTAAACATGCTAGGTCATCATCTAGTCGCTCACACCGTCAACCAAATCCACCTCCAAATCCTCAAAATCCAATTCCTAATCATAATCCCATTGATCCCAACTTGACTATCCAAAATTCGTGTTTCAATCATCCTGGTCCTAGAAATCATCATTTTTGGTATTATCAATATTTCGACTCTTACAAAATCCTGGAAGAACGTATTCCTTCTCGTCAAGCTATGTTAGCTATTAATTTTAAATATCTTCCTCTTTTACAAGAGTGGAAATTTGATAAACTCTTTGACCTTGAACCCATCGTTTACCATCAACTTATTCGTATTTTCTATTCTAATGCCGTTTGTGTTAAAAACCAAACTGAAACCGAAACCATAGGAATTCGTTCCTACCTCCTAGGACAATTCTTATATATTGACTCGGCTTATATAGCCAATACATTCGGATTAGATAACGATGGTATTTCAAATGAAAAGCTGGTTTTAGGATCTCGTTATAAAAGAAGAGATAGTGCGAGTGTCTTAGACCTACATGAATGTTTTCTTCATCTAATGATTTCTTGGTGGTTTCGACCATCCGGAGGTCGTTATTCTACTCTTAGAGCCTTAGATTTTTGGTGGTTACATTGTTTCGAAAATAATATTAAAATTAACCTACCTCAGATTATTTTTGCTGAAATTGTTGAAACCGTAAATCTTGTTCCTAACAAGAAACTCTGTTCATCTCTTGTTTACAGTTGCATTTTGAGTAATCTGTTTTCCAAAGATGGGCTTAGAGTTGGTCTAGATGGCGTTTTTCCCCTTAAGAAACAAATTAACCTTCTTTCCTTAACGAGAGCGGGATGGATTAAGGATAAGGAAACCGGTGAATGGGTTCGATCTTCTGCAAATACTCCAGGAGCTAGTTCTTCACAAGCTCCACCCGAAGCTGACGAAGATCTCAAGCTTGAGCAATTAATGCGAGACATCGATGAAGCCGAAGATGAGCCTGAGCAGCCCGAGGAGCAAGCACAGCAAACGCATCAAATGCCTCCATATTTTCAATCCTTTATGGAGACATTCGATTTCCGATACGCTACCATGGATTCTCGCTTTACTTCTATAGAGTCCCACTTATCCACAATGGGAGCTCAACAATTAGAAATTCTTCGGGAGATGCGTGCAAACAATGAGGCAACCAACGCGCGTATTAATGACCTCACTCACGAAATGACCGCTATGCGAGCTCGTTTTCCTCCTCCTGGTCCTGATATGTGATTCTATGTTTTGCTTTGAACTCCAAACTTATTGTTTTAACATTTTGAATATTTGGGAATGTTTGAATTTGTGGATTGATTGATTTTGAATTTGTTTGGATTTATGAATGGTGAGAACTTATCTATTTGGTGTGATTAAATTTATTCGTTATTGCATCATTTACTTTATGTTAGATATATGACCAATTTTGCCATGTCACATTAATTATGAATATTGATTATGAAACTAATGGCTAACGTTTCTCTTGCTTGTGATCTTAGCAGCTTAAAATATAATCAATTGGCTAAATGATTTCAAAACCTTGTTTAATTCTTTAAAATGTCTTTTTGAGTTAACAAAAAGGGGGAGAAGTAGTGTTAAATGTGTTTTTAAATGATAAATGGGAGAAGTGTTAAAGTAAAGGGGTAATTTCAAAAGAGTAATTTCAAAATCTTAAAATTACAAAATGGGAGAAGTGTTAAAGTAAGGGGGGAGTAATTTCAAAAGAGTAATTTCAAAACTTAATTTCAAAATCTTAAAATTACTAAAATTTTTTGTTATATCAAAAAGGGGGAGATTGTTGAAAACATTTTGATATTTCGATATAACAAATTAAGTTAAATGAATTTTAAGATTTTCCAAATGATTTTCTAAGTATATTCGATATAACTATTCGAATATCAAAACATTACTCCAAATCTTTCAAAGATCATTTTTAATCCTTACTCAAGTGTAAAATTAAGTTTTAATCTTAAAACAATTTCAAAATAATTTTACAAAGTATTTCGAACCATTTCAAAGCCAAAAATTCTAGATTGCTCAGAGGGAACCGATTCCCCTCCCAAGGGGGTACCGATTCCCCCCTGAATGGTTTGGCTCCGAGAATTCCAGTATGCTCGGAGGGAACCGATTCCCCCCCAGGGGGTACCGATTCCCCCCTTGTATAACGGTCGAAATATTTGAATTTTACATTTAGGGAACTGATTCCCCATAGGGGGTATCGATTCCTCCCACGCTCCAAGCTGTTTTATTAATTGTTTTCACACTAAAACGGCTATAATATCTTCTCTAATCATCCCCAACGTTCAGAAATGATTCAAGGTGTATTTAAGCAAGCTTAGAAGCCATTGATCAATAACAAGAAACATCAAGCAATTAGAATCAAGAGAGAATCAAAGAGAAAGCATCAAACCTCAAGTTTGAGCATTTCAAGCCTATTTTCATTCAATATTCATTTTGCTTTCAAGAACACTTATTGTGCTCAATTGTATTTATTCTTGAGTGTTCTTTCTTTGTTCTAGAATTGTGCAAACATATTGCCTTGTGAGGTTTTTCTTGTAAGTTTGCAAATTTGTATTTCTCTTTGAGAAAAGAGTGTTCTCAAGAATTGGGGTATATTCTTGAGGGAGTTGTAAGGTTATCTCTTTGGCCTCAAAAGAAAGAACAAATTAGTGAATTTGTTGGAAAATCCTTAGTGTGGATAGCTAAGGTAGTGGACGTAGACTTTGGTTGATAAAGTCGAACCACTCTAAATTGCTGTGCAATTTCTTTCAATTTTCTGCAAAAGCTTCCACCAAAATTTTTATTGCCAATTCACCCCCCTCTTGGCCAATTCCGTCAATTGATTAACTCAACAACCTTTGTTGCTTTCGAGCACTGACTCGGCAACATAATGTAAACAGATAGTCGATCTAAAAAAATACAGGTCAAACAATTTTGTAATCAAATTTTATCATATCTCAATCAACAGGTTAATGTCCAACTCAAACAACTGCTAAATTTTTAACGAAAAATGACAAGTTTGGAACATATTAATATTTGGGTGACTGTTTTGTAACTTTTAATAGTCGAGAGACTCAACAAATCAATACTCTATAATCAAGGGATCATTTTATAACTTTTAATAGTTAGGGGATTCAACAAGGTAACACCCTATAATCGATGATTATTTGTGTACATACTTTAAATTTTAAGATAGGTATTGTTCACACATGATCGACATTTATTATTTGGATGATTAAGGGTCAGTTTGATATAACTTTTGAAAAGTGAGTTTGAAAAGATAAAATGTCTTATAGACATTATGTTATAAGTTAAAATATAAAATATACAAATAAAAATATAATTATAATAAAAATATATTTTATAATAACTCACTATTAATATTTTAATATATAAACCATGAATGTTATATACTTTTAAGTAATTAAAATAAATTATTAAGTAATAAATTATTTTTTAAGGATGTTAGTATTAAATTATTGAAATAAATTGTAAATACATAATTGAGTAGAACCTATGTATAGATAAGAGAAAAATTATAATTTGTTTTCAAACGTAAAGTTGAAAATAAAAAAGCTAGAAGTCCTAACTTTTGCGGTTTGTTTGAAACCACCGTTTGAAATCATAGTTTTCACCGGAATGTTTTTTCATTTTTATCCATTTAACATTGTTTTTACAGTCAAAACAAGTTTTTTTAAGCTAAAAGTGCTTTTAGAAAGCATTATCAACTTACCCTAAACCATTGTTAAAATTTTCATGACTATTTAAGTAGTTTAGCTAAAGTTTAAATAAATTGCATTGTATTTTTAAAATACTACAAGATCTCAAGAGGATGGATTATAATACAAGTGTATTGAACCCCCCCCCCCTCCCCAAACAACCGTATGCATCAATTTCACACTCCACGAAACTTCATAGTGAAGAAATACATAGTCAATGGTTGGTTGATTGCATAAATAAAAGAAAAGCAACTAAAATATAGCAATATGCTTAGACTTATTCTGAATTTGCAATTCACAAGGGCATTAGGTAAATGTGTAATAATCTGAAAATTCATCACGTGGCCTTATTATTATTTTTTTATTAATTTATGATAAATACAAGGTAATATCTGTTTAAAGATAATTTTCAATCATTTGACATTGAATGCTCGTTTCTTTGACATTCATGATGCTCGAACCTAGGATATCAAGGAATAACAACAATTCCTTTACCACCGAGATTGGATTGGTGCATCACGTAGTCTTTTTCAACAACAAATCAAGAAAACAGCACTATTGGAATTGACTTCAAAATACTACAAATACAAAGTAATGCACATATGCTTCTTTATTTGCTATATGTTAATATATAGCAACGAAAAACAACTCAAGTTGAAAGAACTAAAGCAACATACTCCATAAAATGCAAACTCATAATCAACCATACCACTGTTTTGCTTTCAATTTATGCAATCAGGAATGGCAGAACGGTGAGCATGAAGGCTTCGTAAGTAAACGAAGCATTACCGCTATACATCGTGTCCTTTTCCTTGAATTTCTCAGTTAGTCCCTACACGATCAATCCAAAGAACCAAACATAGATTAAAATCTTTTATCCGTATGAGGTGATTATAAGATAATATTTATTCGAAAGACTCTTAATCATTTAACAATGAATGTTTAAACACCCCTACATAACGTCGTACTCGAACCTGATACATTTAGAAATAACAACTATTTATTAACATTGAGGTAGCTTGATTCGTACACGACCCATCATGTTAGATGAAGAGATTTAGTAGAAAAGAAACTTACTTTAACTGTAAGGCAGCACCTGCATAAAAGAAGGAAGAAAAAGATGATAGATTAGTTGATGTTATATACATAAATTTGGTCATGTTTTTATTCCACGAGTAATTGGATTCAACAAGATAAGACAGCAGTCATACTCGATGAAGTTGTCATATTCAATTGCCCTGGATTTGCCTCCAGTTTTATCAAACTTTGAGACGAGCAAATCCAACACAACCGGAGAAACTGCAAATCCTAGACTCAAGAGTGCTTCTCTCAGTTCATTGGTATCGATTTTGCCACTCCTGTCCCTATCGAATCTCTCAAAAATGGCCTGCACCAAACCCATTTTTTTAAAGCTGAATAACCTGATAAATGTAATCGAGTTAGGCCTGATATAATTTTTGAAAAGTGACTTTTAAAAGTGTTGTACAAAAGAACAGACTAAAATTTAATTGTATGAAATTATGGTTAAAAAGTGAATTTAAAAAGATAAAATATTTATTATATACATTATGTTATAAATTTAAAATATAAAAAATACAAATAAAAAAATATAATTATAATAAAAATATATTTTATAATAACTCACTATTAATATTTTAATATATAAACTATAAATTTTATTTATTTTTAAATAATTAAAATAAATTATTAAGTAATAAATTACTTTTTTAAGAATGTTAGTATTAAATTATTAAAATAAAATATAAATACATAATTGAACGGAACATTTATACTAATAAGAGTAAAAAAGTTGAAAATGAAATAACTAGAAACTATGTTTCCACCATAATTTTTCTTTTAATTTTTACCCGTTTAGCATTAATATTATGACACCATAATTTTTTTTTAATTTTTACCCGTTTAGCATTAATATTATTGTCATAACAAACTTTCTAATTAAAAGTGTTTTTAGAGAGCATTACCAAAGGATACTTCGATCCTTAATCAATCGCTTTCTTACAAAATACAAAATGGAAGGGATGGAAGTTACCCTCCAATTCTGAAGACTATAGAACACTGAACTGAACTCCTTCGGACCTGCATTTAGAAATTTTCATGGGAAACAACTAGTTAAATTGCTGATAAAAGTAAGGGTAAGTTTAATTCAACAGTGAAATTTAAAAATAATGCAATTGCGTTACAATATACCAATGTTCGTTATCTCTTTATGATTTCTAATTTTTTAAAATGTAACCTAATAATTCAATTGCAATTGGGGCCGAAAGGCAGTGGAAGAATTTAAGATGAAAGTAGAAGGAAAATGGAACTGACCGATCTTTCTGGTGTTAGTGTTAGTGTAGAGATACATCAACAAATGAACAGTTCTTAAACTGAAGCTTTGATTATACGAAGAAAGCGCTCTCTGCAACTCCTTATCATCGATAAACCCACTCCCATCTTGATCGGCCATTTGAAAGCAGGACACGATGTTAGGATCTGTCCCCGGTGGAAACACCGATGGCATCAGAGCTGCAAACGGGCTCGCATAACCTCCCATGGGAGGATAGTTTCCGCCATGTGCTGGAGGAGCGCCACCAACGCCATGTACCCCGAGCTTGTCCTTTTTTGGCTTCTCTCCCGGAGGGGCAGAGTAGGGAGCAGAAGGTGCACCGTATGGTGAAGCGCCGTATGGAGCGCCGTACGGTTGAGGAGGTGGAGGCGCGCCGGCTGTGTATGGAGCGGCTGTGTAGGGCTGAGATGGCGGGGCACCGTAGCCGTAGCCGTAGCCGGCAGGGTGGTGAGGGTATCCACCGGACATGATCAGAAATCTTTTCTGGGCAAAAGAGAGCTTTTACTTGTGTATACTTTGTTGATTTTGATTCTACGTAAATGATATTTATAGAGCTATAGTTAGTTAAAGTAGGATTAATTTTGTACATTATTGTAAGATTGCCATTCTTTGATTGTTGTTTTAACGATGGCATTTAGATTTCATTAATAAAAATATAAAAAAATTTTATCGCATCAAAAAATTTATATATAAAACAAAATATTAAATCTAAATATATGAAAAAAAAACATTTCTTTGAAAATGATGTTCAACATCCGAAAAACCTAGTAACATTCATAAAACGTATTGTGTCTATCGAACTAGATATTTTATGAAGTGATAAAGAAGTTGTAAGTGAACCAAATAATTTGACATACTATTTCGTTGTACTATTATGGTTTTATCGACAAACAACATTTTAACAAAGAGGGAATCCGACAATACGTGCCCACTTACAAATCAATCAAAAAACAAATGTTGCGAGAGATTTTGTGCGAGCACTAATACGATCACATATGTATAAAAAAGAGTATCAAAAATTACAAGAAACATGCCACAAGAGCATAGAAAAACATGTTACAATGACAAAAATTCTTATTTTAAATTAAAAAAAATAAAAATAAAAAAATAACATAATATAAAAAAATCATCAACGATCGATAATCAATATTAAAATTAGTGTCATTATCGACTAAATAAAATTAAAGAAAAAAAGACGGCTCAAAATATTGAGAGAAATTTAGATTAAGAAAAAGAAAACTTTCCCTTCATAAACTTGGTCAATATCTTCTCTTCTTTGAATTAATTGTTAAGTTTTTGACTTTTTTTATATTTTATTGAAAAAGAAACAATTCCTTGTTCCTGCACCTGTATGAACTGCAACAAGTGGATTTAATTTTTTCATAATAAATAGGGGAAATTATTAGAGTTTGGATTTGAATATTCTTAGTTTTTAATTTTTTTTTCTAAATCACAATATTATAATTTTTAATAATTTCTAAATTTTCATAATATCTTAGATATTAAATTTTAAAAATTATGTATTTAAATAAGTTTAAACTTATAATATCTAAGTTGTCCTAGTAATACTAATACAAATCGGTTAAGATACAATTAATGATATTATTAATTTAAATATTTATAATGTATTTATTTTGAATAATCTGATACTAATACAAATCGGTTAAGATACAATTAATGATATTATTAATTTAAATATTTATAATGTATTTATTTTGAATAATCTGATATAATGTGTACAATATTAAGATATTTCCTCACTCATAAATAAAAGAATATTGATTGTTTAAGTATATTTGATTTTACATTTTTTATATATTATATCAATGACAATGTAGGTAAACTCAATCAGCAATATTTACAATGAATTTAAATACTAAATTATAAATATTTTATCATTTTAGATTTCTTCAAATGACTTATCTAACGCGTTTTACTTTTGTGATAATTGATTTAGTTAACAGACTCAAATACATTATTCGTTTATTTGCAAAATGAAAAAAAATTATTGAACGTTTTAGTATGTTCGATTCCACATTTTCTTATATATCATGTCACGATAAAATTAATCGAAGTAAACTCAACTAATAATTGTCGATACACGTTTTGTCCCGTTATTATAATAATAATAATAATAATAATTATTATTATTATTATTATTGTTGTTTTCAGATTACAAGACCCAACCGGTCCAACCCCAAATACAACAGACCCAATAGGACCACCAATCTGATCCGAGCCCACAGAGCCAACCCGACCTAGAAGCAAACCGACCCAATACTGAAGCCCAACCAATCAAAGCCTAAACTCAGGCCCAATGCATAATCCCTACCCAATTAGGGTTTCTCAAACCCTAATCTAACACAACCCTTAGCTCCAGTTGCCACTAATCTCATTCATCGAATCTGGACCCATCCAACGGTCCAAATCAAGCCCCGATGAAGACCTATTGCCGCCCATCTCCACCAATCCACGGCAACCAACGCTTCCACCAATCCTCATCATTCTCTTGCCATGCCAGATCACCAAATCAACAAGGGAAACACTCCATGCAACATGCAGTAGCAAACAACCATAAAAACCAACATAACTATCCTTTCCTTTTGAAATCATTGTGATTTGATCATAAAGAAAAAAAGGCAAGCAAAAGATGTAATATTCGGGGAAATCGAGTTTAGGACCCTGAGTTTAGTTGCGCTTTTACAAAACAATCATGAGTAGGGACTGTTTGCATAATTTATCCATTTCTATTTGTTCTTTGTAATTTTTGGTTTAATTTTTGTTTAGTCCCCCTAACTTTAGCGTGTTTTTGCATGTTAGTCACATGTAAGGATTGTTTTTGTAATTTACCCACTTTCATGCATGCTATATATTTTTAGGGTTATTTTCTTTTTACTCCATTTATGTTTAGCGTGTTTTTGCATTTTGGTCAGGTGTAGCGGCTGTTTAATTTTTAAAAAAATACTTGGAGACTGATTTAGATATTTTCCCTTTTTTTATTCGAATGTATATTTTAGGCTAGGAAAAAGGAATATTTAGGAAATAGTCTATGTAGTTTATGCATGTATGAATTTCGAGCCCGAATCTTTTTTATTTATTTTAATTTGTCCATGCAATTTTAATTTATTTTAATTTAGTCCCCATGTTTTATTTATTTTAATTATTTGTAATTTTAGCACTTAATATCGAAAATGCTTATTTTAGTCACTTATATACTTTATTTTATTTTAATTTAGGCATGATGGTTTAATTGTTTATGTTTTAGTTCTATTTTAATTTTAATTTTTGCATGTTAGTTCATTTTAGTCCTAATTAATTTTGCATGTCACCCCATAAGCATTTCTTGACTCGAATCGAAATAAATTGACTAAGGGTAATATTCGTTCATTTTAATATTGTCGTAAAGTGATTGTCTTAACAAATAAGAAAGTTACTTTCTATAATTTTAAAACAAAAATATATCCCATTTAGTTACACGAATTAAATCGATTTCGTATTAAAATTCAGGGAGTGGGGAAAAGATCATGTTCTTTTAATTAAATTTATCGAGAAAAGACTGTTAGATCGAATCTCAGGCCTCGTCTCGAGGTATTTAAATAATTGAACATCTTTGTTCTCATTAAATATTGATAAAATAAATAATTAATTACTTGCTTGATATGCTTTTAATTTGCTTTATTTTTGCATGTGTTTTCCAATGGGTTTCCAAAGTAATAACATTCGAATAAATATTGAGAATAGTAATATCTTTTCATTTCGATTGGAGTAATAAATGATTGCTTTAAGGCATGAAAGGTCATTTATTCTCGATTGAAAATAATTAGATATCATCGTTTTCTCTCTTAAAATTATTTTGGGTGTTGTTATTTTGAATTAATAGTGAACTTTAGAATGAAATTTTAATATTTCTTTATTTCGATTGGAGTAAGAATCGATTCTTTTAAGGTATGAGAGATTGATTCTTGTTGATAGGAAATAATTAAATACTATCATGTTTCGTCCGAAAATTCAAAGAAAATTATTTCTATGGGATCTTAAATTAAATTAGACACGAACTAGTAAATTTCATTGCAAAGACAACTAATTAATCTACTAGGTATCGATTTAGGGCACTGTGAGGGTGCTAATCCTTTCCCCAAGTAATCGACTCTCGAACTCGAATTTTGATAACGCGGACCGCAAGGTTGTTATTTTAATTAAAATTAATATTTTATTAAAATGATAAATACATTTTGGGTGCCCAATCACACCCTAATTAAAGATTGGTGGTGAATCCTCTAACCATGTTTTATCATTAACTGATCATCAAAAATTATTTCGAAATGAGACCCCTCCTTTTCTCCTTTTTTGAAAAATTGTTTCGACAGCTTGGCGACTCCACTGGGGACCTTTTTAGAGAGTCGGGTCATTAGTCGACTAATTATTTATCTTTGCAAATGAAAATTACAAGTTCATTCTAATTTGGTTTTTGATCCTTGTTTGGTTTAAATAAGTGTTTATGATTTAATTAACCACTAAATAGTCGTATTGATTTGTTTGCTAATGTTTTTAGAGTAAATAATTATTTAGGATTTTGAGATCTCTGTTTGGTGCTGTTTGATTTATTTTCACTTTTTCTCACACTGCACATCTGCATTTGCATAACGTGAGCTAAAATCCCACTCCGTCCTTTTTAAGTAGGAGTGAGAAAATACTCCCTCGTGTGGTTTTCACCTCCGTACGGGATAGTAGATCGCTCCTGGGGCTCATGCCTTATGGTCCTCATTATGGTTTTTACCTCTGTATGGACATAAGGAGGAGTGTCCCCTCGAATTGAAGTCGATCTGAAAGTGTATGATAGGCCAGGATTGAGGCTTCAGTAACCCAAGGGGGCAACGGTAAGGATAATTCGAGGACCTCTTAATTTAGAGCTGAACCCAACTTATAGCAAACTTAGAACCCATATAGAGCCTTACCTAGATCAAAAGAATCCCGTGAGGAGAGTACACAAGGAAAAGTCTTTTTGAGCATTATAATTTTTTTAGTGTAATTTTAATTTCCGAATAAATGTATGCGAACTAGAGATCATGCGGTTAGGTTTATTTTTTTTCAAAAAAGCATGCGAACTAGATGGCATGAGGTTAAGATTTATATGTTGAACAAAGAATGAGAATAGAAATCATGTATCGGTAGAACTGTTATAAAAGAATGTTAGGGTGGATACCATTTTGGGTAGGATCTTTTCTTTTCGTGAATATTTTTCTGCTTTTTTGGTTAAGTGGTACTAACAAATTCTTTTGTTATTTTTATCTATCTTATGTTTACATTTAAATTTTCACATTGTAACCAAACAAGGTGTTGATTCGCAAGTGATTAAGTAAGTAAGGATATTTTTCATTATGAAACAAGAAATTATTAGCCATGTAGTCAAAATCAGTAGATCCAAGGGTGTTCAAATGATCCATGAAGAATGACATCCAGTGAATGAAGGAATTTGAAACTGGTTGAATACTTCCTTTGAAAGC